CGCATGGTTCGCACTCGTCTACATCACCATTCCACTTCACGCATTGTGAATGCTTATCAGATTTGTGCCAAAGCTGACATGGCTGTCGCGCATGATAGTTGCCACAGTGTCCGCCAGTTGCCTATGCTGCGTCCCGAAACAAAGGGTAATCTTGCAGGATGGCTATTCGGAACGAACTATCCCTTGGCGAGTGGTCAAGCAATATGGCAGACAAGTCGGCGTTACTGATGGCAGGCAGATAATGCAGATGTGCCACCTGCTAAGCCTATTGCTCAGTGTGAAGCAGGAATGAAATCTGAGATTAATGAGGCTGATGCTCAGATTCATCCTGAGTCTAGTGACCAATCATGCCTTCCGAGACTCAATGTCCAGTCTGGCTCGCTCTGCTGATGTAACATCTCCATTTTGACTGACCATGTTGCATAACCATGCCAATTGCGTTTTAGTTGCTGGTTTAGTTTAGTTTGTTTTGTTTTTGTTTGGTGCTGAAGGTTTGATTTACCTTAAAAGCGAGTTGACCCTGTCAGAATGTATCGCCTTTTTTTGCGTTGAATTGACTGTTGCCCGGTTCCTTTGCGATTTTATTGTTCATTTCTTACCTGCATTTTTCTTCTTTCCTTTTCTTTTTTCTCTTCTTTTTTCCTCAAACAGGTTTGCACTTTCAAAGATAATATTTTTTAAGGAAGGGGGTAATATGGTAGTCATACATCACGGCTGTAGTACTGATGTGCACAGTCATGGTAACAGTGCATTGCGTAATGCCCAAAAACAAGCTAAACGGCACATCGAACTCAGAATAGCATTTTAGCTATATTGTTGAATATCAGTACCACTGAAGTCATCGCTGTGCTAACTTTTGCAAATCATGACACATCTTATTGGCAGTGGTGGACAACTGCAGGTAACTTGTAAAGCTTTGGTTATTTCGAAACATGCTGAGCGAAAACTATTTACTTCCTACGTATACAAAAACTTCGTGACTTTTTTGAACTTTTTTTTAGCAAGAACCTGCTCAACGAACGGCGCCAAAGGCTGTCATCGACAACCCACGTTCATGTCAAGGTTAGTTTGGTTGATCCCGAACAGATTCTTCACGGACGCCATGTGTGTGAGGACGTTGCCGACAAAAACTCAAGACTCAAATGAAAAAAAACTAACACTTACTTGCTCGAAACTGACACAGTGACGAAGTGAAGCTCGTGGCTGGAACACGGAGTCACCGGCACTCGCTGCCCTGAAGCTGGCCAGGCTCGTACTTGCGGTGCCGGCTCCATAGATCTACGCAGTCTGAGAACATAAAATGTTTTGCTCGCACGGCAAGATGAACCATTTCAGTCGTCGTGCAACCAGCGCAGACTCCGGATCAGAATGCCGACGGCTGGCTCTCTTTGCCTCTCTCCAGTGAGACGTCTCCTTTGTCGCCAAGGGGAATTGCAGGGACCCCATAGAAGCTATAGGGTTTATCGGGTGTTAGCGGCCGTCGTGAGTTCCCTTCGGGAACGGACACGATAATTTACTTTTTTTCCTTCTTCATAGAAACCACTGTAGAAATGCTTGGGAGGATTGCGAAGCCTGTTTATGTGCTTGTACGACTCGTTTCATGGCATAATGGAGGTCGCAGGTTGGAAAGACTGAATATAGTCGACACCGATTCGTACACAACTCTAGAGATGAAGATGACGTAGCCAAAGTCCAGGGTCGGATCATCACTGCAGGTGACAAGAATCTGAACGAAATTCGAGCGGAAGCAGCGACCGTTGGGAATGCGGAGTCAGCGTTGTCAGGTGACAATGACATGAGCGACGAAGACTCTGAATAAACTCAATCTCATTCGTCGGAGTTTCTTTTTTTGTTTGTGTATAGCTTGAAAACAGGTTAGACAGTGCCACAAGTGTTATTCCGAGTCAAACGGATCAATTCCAGAGCTGTGTGCAGCTTTCAAAAATCAAGTCACGAAGTTTTTGCATATGGAGGAAGTATAAGTCATCTTGTCACCCAAAATTGTCATTGAGTAGTCCGTGGCTTTTTACTGGTATGTTTTTCATCCACATTTGGCTTGGAGATACAGGAATGGAGCAGAATTCAAGGAAGTGTCTGCCGTAAGGCTTTTATCGTTCTTTCAATTTCACTGCCTTGCAAGCAGAATCTAGCATTTGTTCACCTCCTCCTTGTGTCTCAGAGAACTGGCGAAGCCGCCTTAGCTCCTTGTCTGACTGGAGAGCATGGTGCAGCTGCAGATTTCTTCCCTACATGTTGACAACATCAAGAATACTTTGCAAACCAGGTCCACACTTGGCTGTGTACACTGAGGGTTTGAATGTTATGAAGCAGACTTTAGTCTCCGTCTCTCTGCCCCATGTGATGGTACGCTCGGCGAGCCCGCCTTCTTCGTGAAATAAAAAGAGGCTGAATGACTAAACAATCGACGAGGAGACAATAGTCGTAAATGCTTGACGATTCCTGGTGTAATTCGTTGCGCACGTTCCTTGAAGCAATTGCAGGTGTTTGAAGCTGTATATATTCGTACTCGTGACCCTGTGGTATGTAAACAGAAAGAAAACGTTGTATCACTCACACTCTTCAAGTAATACACACACACCATTACATTCATTCACACAGTGTCACATTCATCTGCCACTACCTTTCTCACATACACTATATTCACAGATTGCAAAGGTGCAAACTTCGTATTTTGTACTTGCTGGCTGCTGTACTTCTACCCGAAACCATATTAGCTACATGTATTATAAGTGTGTGTTCTAGTTGTTACATTTTTATGTGACGACGTTCCACTGATTAAAGTCACAAGAAAACGTTATGGAACTTAACTTTCTTCATTTTTGCTGTTGTTATGAGTGCACTATTCATCTTATTTACTGATTGATTACGAAGGAGTGGTTGCGACTTCGGCGATGATTTGCAAGAAAGGGTTTGATCCCCACACCGGAGCTCGCGCTATTCCGCCGACTTTACTTGACACTTGACTGACTCACGACTGCCATCCAGAGCACACGAGAAGTCCATCGAACTTTCGACTCGGCAAACCTGCAAGAAAGCACCACTCCCTGCTCAATACAGTGGTGCTTTCTTGCAGGTGTGCCGAGTCGAAGGTTCTATGGGCTTCGTGCGATCTGGATGGCAGTCGTGAGTCAGTCAAGTGTCAAGTAAAGTCAGCGGAATAGCGCGAGCTCCGGTGTGGGGAGCAAACCCTTTCTTACTGATTGATTAAACCAAAAAATCATAGTTAACGTACACTGGGCGTACTGTGTGTGGACGGCTGTGATGTTGCTGTGGCCGTTGATAGCTGAACGGAGCAAAACAGAAAAGTTAGCTTTTCAGAGATAGCTTCAGATAATTGAAGTCCGGATTTTGGCTAATCATATCCATGAGCTCAATAAGAGCTTAGCCAGCCTGGTTTGCTAAACAAGATCAAGGCACGATGCTGGGTTCCCGAGATACGAAGCCTGCAAGATACTTCATGGCACTTTGCATTTCTACGCCTGAATCAAATGCTCCACACCTGGGGTTTCCCCTTTACAAGCTATCTAGGATCTCGGTAACAGGCTCATATGTCTTGGAAGCTCTCACTGAATTTTCACGGAAAGGAATTGGGCATCCTGGGATAATGGAGATGGACATGGCGAGCGGCTTTCGTGGGACAACGCAAGTCCAGCGCTGAAGCGATGTCTCTAGCTTATTGCGCTGGTGCTGTGCTTTATTGGCTATCGGATTTGTGCCCAGCGGGTTGCTCGCCGCTAGAGCTTTCCAGAAAGCCCAAGTTTGTGGAAGCGGGCAAAAGAAAACAGAAAATATTCTCCAAAGTCGGTGAAACAATTGTTGGTATTTTTGAAATCTTTTATTCTCACGATGGCCTGTGGCCAATAAGAGAAAAATAATTACAGGCACGGGGATCAGATACAGAAAGACCAAAGTTTAGCTGATTGCTGAAGCAGTAGCGATGGCAATAGGGAGTTTATCACATAGGCTGGGGGCAATGGAGCTATAGCCAGCCTGGTTTGCTAAACAAGATCAAGGCACGATGCTGGGTTCCCGAGATACGAAGCCTGCAAGATACTTCATGGCACTTTGCATTTCTACGCCTGAATCAAATGCTCCACACCTGGGGTTTCCCCTTTACAAGCTATCTAGGATCTCGGTAACAGGCTCATATGTCTTGGAAGCTCTCACTGAATTTTCACGGAAAGGAATTGGGCATCCTGGGATAATGGAGATGGACATGGCGAGCGGCTTTCGTGGGACAACGCAAGTCCAGCGCTGAAGCGATGTCTCTAGCTTATTGCGCTGGTGCTGTGCTTTATTGGCTATCGGATTTGTGCCCAGCGGGTTGCTCGCCGCTAGAGCTTTCCAGAAAGCCCAAGTTTGTGGAAGCGGGCAAAAGAAAACAGAAAATATTCTCCAAAGTCGGTGAAACAATTGTTGGTATTTTTGAAATCTTTTATTCTCACGATGGCCTGTGGCCAATAAGAGAAAAATAATTACAGGCACGGGGATCAGATACAGAAAGACCAAAGTTTAGCTGATTGCTGAAGCAGTAGCGATGGCAATAGGGAGTTTATCACATAGGCTGGGGGCAATGGAGCTATAGATGTGCTGAGGAATGTGAGCAAGTACATACTTGGTATTATTGGAGACGCAATCTGTAATGGTGTCCTATTGTAGAGGCTATACATTTACCTATCCTTCCCCACAATCAACTCTAGTTTGCTGCAAACGTCTTCCGATGCTCCTGGCATTCAGATAACACCACTTGCACAAAATTACTTTTGTGATAAGGTCGGTTTTGTCATCTGACGGCTTATTTGGTAAATCATTTTGTCAACCCGCTATGCACACTAAGTAATTTATTATGTGTAGTAATGCACTCAGCACTGGATGGTACAGCACAATCTCCATACTTTCGATCACCAAGCCGCTGGCTATCATGAGCAGGTAAAATATTTTTTTGTGTTTCTGTTTCTGTCGTGTTCTTTTGCTGGTAGAACGCATAGCTTGGAAGCATACCCAACAAAAACATTATGTGTTCGATAGCATTGGCCAACTGTGGACTGTGACCTTAGAAGCACTTGGAACAGTGAAAATGATTGGATCGTGTTCTAGCGATGTTACTCTTAACACCTCATCAACACGTTTTGCAAACCTGCCTTACAATGCTACAGCAAGGCTTGGAAAAATCTACTTCACGTTTCGGGGAAATGACAGTGCCATTCTCAGCCGGTTTTCCTCTGACAATCCTATAGGCGTGGTGTTTAACTTGTCTTGCACCGTAATGTACAGCTCTGCCGTCAATTGCCACCCATACATTCCTGGTTCACTTTATAATGTCCGGAAATGGCCTGCCGTGTATTTATGCCGGCAGAAAGCGCGCCCGGTTACAAAGAGCTTTCAAGTACTTGTGCAAGGTAAGGATATACTGATCATGTCAAACAACACTGTTAATTTTTGAATGAAGTTGACAAAACCCGTGTGGCACAATAATTTTGAACGAAGTTGACAAAACCGTGCGGCACAATGATTTTTGAACGAAGTTGACAAAACCCGTGCGGCACAATGATTTCTGAACGAAGTTGACAAAACCCGTGTGGCACAATGATTTTTGAAGTTGACCCGCAAAGCCCGTGCTTCGCGCACGCATACTGGTCAGTGTAGAGGCTTTTGCGAACGCAGATATGTAGTTCCTCGTCTTCTTCGAAATGTCTTCCAACTGCGTGGTTGCTGTTTGTTGTTTGTATATTTAGAGTTGAAGAACAAACAGGCAAATTTGCCTAATTACATGATATCGACTAAAAAGGAGAATAAAGTATAAAAAGGCCAATGAAGATAATGATACTGAGTAGAGTGGGTAATGATACTGAGTAGAGTGGGTAATGATACTGAGTAGAGTGGGTAATGATACTGAGTAGAGTGGGTAATGATACTGAGTAGAGTGGGTAATGATACTGAGTAGAGTGGGTAATGATACTGAGTAGAGTGGGTAATGATACTGAGTAGAGTGGGTAATGATACTGAGTAGAGTGGGTAATGATACTGAGTAGAGTGGGTAATGATACTGAGTAGAGTGGGTAATGATACTGAGTAGAGTGGGTAATGATACTGAGTAGAGTGGGTAATGATACTGAGTAGAGTGGGTAATGATACTGAGTAGAGTGGGTAATGATACTCAGTAGAGTGGGTAATGATACTGAGTAGAGTGGGTAATGATACTGAGTAGAGTGGGTAATGATACTGAGTAGAGTGGGTAATGATACTGAGTAGAGTGGGTAATGATACTGAGTAGAGTGGGTAATGATACTCAGTAGAGTGGGTAATGATACTGAGTAGAGTGGGTAATGATACTGAGTAGAGTGGGTAATGATACTGAGTAGAGTGGGTAATGATACTGAGTAGAGTGGGTAATGATACTCAGTAGAGTGGGTAATGATACTCAGTAGAGTGGGTAATGATACTGAGTAGAGTGGGTAATGATACTGAGTAGAGTGGGTAATGATACTCAGTAGAGTGGGTAATGATACTGAGTAGAGTGGGTAATGATACTGAGTAGAGTGGGTAATGATACTCAGTAGAGTGGGTAATGATACTGAGTAGAGTGGGTAATGATACTGAGTAGAGTGGGTAATGACACTCAGTAGAGTGGGTAATGATACTGAGTAGAGTGGGTAATGATACTCAGTAGAGTGGGTAATGATACTGAGTAGAGTGGGTAATGATACTGAGTAGAGTGGGTAATGATACTCAGTAGAGTGGGTAATGATACTGAGTAGAGTGGGTAATGATACTGAGTAGAGTGGGTAATGATACTCAGTAGAGTGGGTAATGATACTGAGTAGAGTGGGTAATGATACTGAGTAGAGTGGGTAATGATACTGAGTAGAGTGGGTAATGATACTGAGTAGAGTGGGTAATGATACTCAGTAGAGTGGGTAATGATACTGAGTAGAGTGGGTAATGATACTGAGTAGAGTGGGTAATGATACTGAGTAGAGTGGGTAATGAAGGTAATGATACTGAGTAGAGTGGGTAATGAAGGTAATGATACTGAGTAGAGTGGTAATAAAGTAATACAAGTCAGTTAGGCCAGTAAAGGAAGTGATATTACAGCGGGCAGTGGCCTTACTGAAAAGCAGCATGTGCTGGGATGGATCGCACGAATCGGTGGTACTGTGGGATTTTCCTGATGTCCGGCTGGAGCCTGTTCCACAGTGATACACATTGGAATGAGGCAGAATGTGTGTCAGCGGATGTCTTAGTGACTGGAAATTTATGTGCTCGACTTCCCTGACTACGTGTAGCACGGAACATATCGGTAAGCAATGTGCTCCATTTACCCTGAAGGCAGCGACAGGTGTGGCCAAGGAGCTTGTGGCAGTACATAACTTCTAGCGAGTGGAAGCGCAATTGGCAATACAGCGGCGAAGATGGGGATGCAAATGGAGCGTTGTAAACACAGAGGACTGCGCGCTTGAGTAGACGCTCTAGGCGCTCGAGCTGATGTGAGGGGAGGCCAGCAGAGAAACAGTTGCTAGCATACAGGAAGTCAGGAAGGATCAGGGACTTCAGGTACGTGATGCGGCACGGGAGGGGCATGCAGCGCCTGTTTCTGAACAGGACAGCTATTTTACAGGCAGCTCACTTGGCGATCTGGTTGACCATGGTGGTCCACTTGAGACCTTGGTCCATGTGGACACCAAGATACTTTGCAGATTCTACTTGTGCCAGTTGAACTCCAGAGAACATAACGCTGACACGAGGATTCACAGAACGAGGGGCAGGGATGAACAAAATCTGGGTTTTACTCTCGTTTAGTACCAGGTTCCTGCTGGCAAGCCATCTAGCCAGGTGTGTTACTGCAGAAGACATACCGGGTTCCAGCTGATGTTTGTCCCTGCTACTAATATAGAGCATGATGTCATCTGCGAACTGAACTGTCCGCACACCATACGGTTGCACTTCAGCTACCACACCACGGACATAGAGGACAAACAGCAGAGGACCAAGTACGGAACCCTGGGGCACACCCCTGCTGGGCTGGAATACCTTGCTGTGCTGGTTCCCAATGACAACTCTTTGCTGCCGGTCACTTAGGTAGTCTGCCAACCAATTCAGCGCACTTCCATCAACACCAATACTGAAGAGGTCGCGGATGAGGGTGCCATGTTGAACCTTGTCGAATGCCTTCGATATGTCAACAAAGGCAGTGCAAGTTGAGAGGCCAGAGTCTTTGGCATTGGCAAAGGCCTCCGATGCCATCACAACAGCATCCTCTGTTGAGTGCTCTTTCCGGAATTCGAGCTGGCAATCTGGGTAGAGGCTGTGGGTGGTCAAGAATTCAGTGAGTTGCGAATGTACGATGCGCTCAAGGATCTTTAAGATAATAGGCAACAGAGAAACAGGTCTGAAATTGTGTGGCCTTAGTAGGGTTGCCGCTCTTGTACACAGGGGGGATATTTGCAAGTTTCATGGATAGTGGAAATCTCCCTTCGGAAAGTGACTTGTTGAAGATGAGAGTTACTGATGGAGCTAAGAGGTCAGAGCATGCTACTAGTACAAGAGCAGGTACGCCATCACTGCCCATTGACTTTGTCGTATCTACACTGCTGAGCAACTTGCGTACACATGCGATGTATACTGGCTTGAAACAGCAGAGATCAGTACTTGCATTCAGACCAGAAAAAGAGGGGATGGACAGCACCTTTGGGCGAGTCGCATCGGTGACGATGTCCGCAAACACTTGTCCGATTTCATCCGGGGGGCATTGAGGAGCAGTGTGGGTCCGTGTTCTGCCTGATACCTGGTTAATCACTCTCCATGTTTGTCTTGGCTGGCCTTCCGTATTGGCAAACTCATCCTGATAGTAGCAGGCCTTGAGTCGTCGGTTTTGGCAGCTGGCTCACATCACGTCTGGCCTGGCGGAAAGCTTCATGGTCCACAGGTTGCAGGTGCGTAGCCATTTGCGGTGGGCCCGGTTTCGACTAGATATTGTGGCCAACAGGTTTGCATCCATCCAAGGACCATGTTTGCATGTTTTGGTGTGGAGGGGCCTCAAAGGAGCATGTTTGTCTAGGATATCGAGGAACTTCTGCAGCCATCGAGTCCACATCTCATCACACGATCCATCCAAGGAGCACAAGTTTGCAGCCACGAGGAAATTGCGAAACATTTCCATGTTGATGCCTCGGAGGTGTCGAGTCTGCGGTTGAGCACTCTGGGGTGCACAGTAGTTGGCAGTGGTTGCCAGGGTAGAGATGACAGCCAAATGGTCACTAAATGATACTGGGGAGACAATGGTTGGGGCTCTGCACAGCAACGTACTAAAATACTAAGTCCGGGGTGGTTTGTGATCCCGTAATTCCGATTTTTGTGGCCTGACTCACACTTTGTGACAGTCCGAGGGTATTCGCGATGTCAGATAGATATGAGAGTTGACCACTCTGGCGGCTATAGTCAACATTGAAGTCACCACAGATTATCACATCCTTTGGCTCCCTCGTCGCACGAGAGAACGTCGCTTCCAGGGCCTGCCAGTAAGACACTCGCATATGAGGTGGCCGATACACACAGGCAATGAGACAAGGCTTCGGCTGGGCCTTCACCTCTACCCAACAGCATTCAATACCCTGTGTGGCAAGATCTGGCGGGGGGTGGCATTTCAGTCCGACATCAGTGTATATACACACCACCACCCAAGTTACAATGGTCTAGGCGATGTAGGGTGTAACCTGGTATAGACATTTCTGCTGTGGTAATGGTACCATCGACCCAAGTTTCTGAGACAGCTATTACATTGGGCACACAAGTAGAGGCCAGTTGCATTGGATCCTGCAGCTTCTGGCGGAGGCTGCAGATGTTCAGGGACAGTACTTTCAACGTGGAATGTGAACTAGTCATCATCTAATAGATTGGTGGTGGTCTTTTCGCATCTCCAGCGTCAGGAGGGGAGAGGTGCGAGCTATTCCTTTTCTGGCTGTTGGGCAGTGGTGTTGATGCACCTTCTGTCGCTGGTGGTGCGGCAGGCAAGTTGTCTGTCTCCATCCGCGTCTCCTGAAGGAGCTTGTCCACGATGGCCTCAGTCTCCTGAAGGAGTTGGTCGCCCGTGGTCTCTTCAAAGAGTTGGTCGCCGGTGCTGCTGCCATTTTCAGAGGCCACAGAAGCACTACCGGTACTTGGGGTGGATGTTCTATGGTCAATGCTGTCTCCAATATCTTCGCCAGATGTGGCTCGCCCACTGCTATTTCTGTCAGCATCAAACTTCCACAGCCTGGAGTACATGCGGCCCGGCCAAAAGTTCTTGGCAAGCAAATATCCAGCATCTTGTGCATTGATCATGACCGGCCCTGACACCGTGAGGCGAGAATTGTTGAGTGGCCGTTTCTCCAGTATTGTCACGCTGTGCAGCGGGAAGTTA